CTTGTTTTGGGGGGCAATTGGATTGATGTTTTATTACCCTTTTGCACCCCCTCCTAGTTTAAATTCATCCTAGCAAAACCTCTGTACTGCTCACTGAGCACATTTGATCCTTTTTGAGAAAGATGCAAACCATCTTTTTGTACAGTTCCATTCCAAACAGAGCTACCATGAGAAATGAAGCACAATCCTTGCTCCCGACACCATTCACCAAGTCACAAGTTAAAGTCCCTAATGCACATCCGCCTGTCGTTCTGAGTGTAATGCAAGTACATCCAATTCCCCTTCCTGCTTTGCTCACTTAACAATATTACAAATATGTCTCCTGTCTCTGTGAGCAGTAGATCCGGGAAGACATCTCACAAGACCACTATTTTCCATCTCCACACCTCTTATGATAAAACACCCCAACACCAACTGCTTTCTATTATGCCTCACCATAGTCTCCAAGCCTGTCTCCATAATACCACTACACTCAGTGCCTGAGAATGTCTCCACAATACCACAACACTCAGTGCCTGAGCCTGTCTCCACAATACCACTACACTCAGTGCCTGAGCCTTTCTCCACAACACCACTACCCTCAGTGCCTCTGTCTGTCTCCATAACACCATTACACTCTGAAAGTGCTAAAAATGAATTATGTAGAGCAACAGACTGTGCAATATGCCTTTTATCAACAACGCTAAGTCTACCAGATCCTACAGTAATCTGTCTGTCATTCCTAGTACGTCTCTGTGGCAGTGGCTTTGCAACAGTTCCAGCCTGAGTTTGTTTACCGGATAATTTACAAATCTCAGACTTCAAAAATACAATCTCCTGCCGTAATATAGAGAACTGTCTACAGATTAGACAGCATCCAAATCTCCAAAAAGTGGAACGTGAAACATATGCATAATAACTATAACACTGAACTAAGTCTTCCATTTTAATGAGGTGAGTAATCAAACAAATCTTAACTTTTTTTGTCCTCTTGTATAATTGAGATTACCTTCAGTTTATCTCCAGAATATGTCCAAGCACACACTTTGAAGCAGCACTCAGAAACAGCAACCAAGCTATATTAGCCAAGCTAATGACCACAACCCTTATATAACTTCTAAAAGCACCACCCACTAGGCATGTTTAACACCTGGGTAGACCTATGCCTTTTTGCAAACAATAGCTAATGAACCAACAATCAATAGCAAACACCTAGCAAATCAAATCAAATACCTTACCAAATACCAACAGGATAGCAAACCTTGTGCAATCAGTAAAATTTTCCTATAGATGAATCTTACCTGTAACAGTAAAAAGAAAACTCTTAGCAAAATCTTAGACAGTTGAAGAATCTGTAAAACTCTCCAAAATGTCTCCAAGCACACACTTTGAAGCAGCACTTAGAAGTAGCAACCAAGCTATATTAGCCAAGCTAATGACCACAACCCTTATATAACTCCTAAAAACACCACCCACTAGGAAAGTTTAACACGTGGGTAGGCCTATGCTTATTTGCCAACAATCAATAGCAAATACCTAGTTAATTAAATCAAATGCATTACCTATTACCAACAGGAAATCAAACCTTCTGCAATCAGTAACCTTTTCCTATAGATGAATCTTACCTGTAACAGTAAAAAGAAAACTCTTGAAGAATATGTAAAACTCCTGAATATCTGCAAGCACACAATTTGTCCCATGTCAGACTAAGAGGTTGCATGTGTCTGTATGTGTCTGGACAATCTAGATGACATCCTCCTAATGCACCCGGATGGGGAAGTTCTTGCTTCTCAGAGGGACTATCTTGCTTCCCTTTTACAAAACCTAGGATTTGTAGTGAATTTACAGAAATCAGAACTAATTCCCACTCAAATAATTATTTTTCTGGGTTTTGTACTGAACACCAGGACTATGTCGGTAAGAGTCCCTCAGGACAAATGGGACAAATTATTGGTACATCTGACCTCATCTCTCTGGCACTAGAGTTGGTCCTTGAGAGATCTGGCAAAGATTATTGGGACATTAATAGCTTTAACGATGATTCACTTTATTTTGCAGAAGAAGTCAGCTGTTTTGAGGGAATCGATTAAGACAGGGTTGCTATTGGGAATCAAAATACTTTCTCCCCGAGAAGAGTTGAAGTCTATTCTGGGGTTAGAAATCCCACTTGCTTGTCCCTTGCTAGTGCAGCTTTTTGCAGTTACTCTGACTTCAGATGCCTCAAATTACGGTTGGGGAGCTTTCACACCCCAAAAAGCGATAAGAGGAATTTGATCAGACCAAGGGAGACTCCTTCATATAAACATCTTGGAGATAAGAGCAAAAAAATTACTCTCCAGGGTCTGGTTCCTCTAAACCAGTTACTGACATCGGTAAAAGTCCAATCGGACCACAGAGGGGGCACAAGATCAATGGTTCTTTGTTTGGAGGCTCTAGATCTTTGGTCTTGGGCTTTAGCAAACAAAGTTCGGGTATACTCAGAACACATTCCGGGAGAGGTAAACGAGCTCACAGATTCTCTCTCTCGCCAGAATTTGTTTCTGGCAACTGATCAATTAAAGAGTGCTCTATTAAATTTGATAAAAAAGCACTTTTGGCCATAGACAAGTAGATCTGTTTGCATCCCAAACATCTGCAAAACTCCCAGGTTCATCTCCAGGATTTGGACAAAGGGAGTTTGGAAAATGGATGCACTGTCTTTCCAATGGACAGATGTTGCAGCCCATTATGCTTTTCCCACTCCATCTTGTCACAGAGTATTAACCCTAACACGCAGAGTTTAGGATAGCAAGGAACGGAATAATGAAATATAAACATCTTATCGGGCCTTAGAGTGGCTGGACTTAATGTAGACAGAATAAAACGTAGTCAAAATACGAGGTCAGGGTAATAGAGAGACAGCGAAAATGAGAACTAGCCAGTGTCAGGTACACAGTAAATATCAGGGCAAAGGGCAAAGAAGAAAAGGACAGAGTTAAAGAGAAACTCAGAGTCAGGAAACAAAGCCAAGGTCAATAACAGAATACAATACAAAACACTAGGAACGCACTAAAGGATACTGGGAACAGAAACCACAATAGGGCACAGAATATAGGGCCAGGTAAGTTTAAATACTTTTAATATGATTGGTCTACATTATGCCTTTCCCCCAAAATGTGCGTGAATGGGGTGCCAGAATGATGTGGGCCAATGGGAGCCGACCACAAGGTTAGGCTCCCATTTTCCCTTTAAGAACGTACTAGTGATGCGAGTAGCATTCCCAATACTGTACTGGCCGCGAGCCCAATCAAACTGTTCAGCCCGCCAGGAGCAAGGTGTTTTTTGAGCCGCACCTGGCTCGTCTGAAGACAGGAGACCCAATCTGTGTGCGGCTCGATCAGAGGAACCCTGCCAGCATGCAGACCTTGAAAGTACTGTTGCATTACCCCCACATGAAGACCCGCCCACTGGGTTTAGTTCCCCTTGGAGGGGAAGCGGGAATGAAACGCACAAAGAAGATGAGGAGCGTTAACATCGCACGTAGAGACCCAGCTAAGTTCCCCAGGTTCATATCCCTTCCAATGGACCAAATACTGGAGACAGCCCCGTAAGAGACGAGGATCAAGCACAGAAGCCACCTCATATTCCTCTTGGCCCTCAACGGACACAGGAGGAGAAGGAAGGAGTAGGTTTAGTGTATCTGTTACAAAGGAGCGGTTTGAACAAGGAGGTGTGGAAAACATTAGGTATACCCATGTTCTTAGGAAGATCCAGGGCATACGAAATCAATAATTTTCCTCAAAATACGGAAAAGGCTGATAAAACAGGGAGCCAGTTTCATAAAAGGAGCTTGAAGATGAATGTTATTGTTAGAATGCCATACCTTATCCCCCACAACATAAGAGGGAGCTGCCCTATGAGGCCTATTAGCCTTAACCTTCTGCCGAGCCACAGATTTCACCAGGGAACGCTGTACCTGCTCCCAAGTACTATCTATACCAGCCTAATGTTCGTCTAGAACCGGCATTCCCTGTGAAGAAATGTGGACGGGAGAACAACAGGATGCCAGCCATAAATAACATAAAAAGGGAGAAGACTCATGCAAGGCATTATTGCTAACGAATTCAGCCGAAGGAAGCAGGTCAAACCAATCATTCTGGTGGGAAAAAAACAATGTAGATATTGATCTAGGGACTGGTTGGCTCACTCAGCAGCACCATAAGTCTGGGGGTAATAGGCAGAAGAAAAGAACAATGAAATACCCATCTCTGAGCAAAAGGCTCTCCAAAACCGGGACACAAATTGTCGACCTCTGTCAGATATAAAGGAATCAGGTATACCATGTAATCTTAACACCTCCCTGGTGAATACTGTTTCAAAGATGCCTCTGTTACGTGTTCCTGGAGGGGTCTGCTGGCTAGTCTCCTGCCCAAGGACTACAGACCATGTAAAAAAACTGGGTTCTGGTGGATTTCCTCGACTGTTCAGAAACCGAACCAACTCACGAACTACCGACCACCCGGGAGACTTGTTAAACCCTATTAACACCTTGTAACGATTCTAACCGCAGTATTCTAAGTGTTCGCCTGGGTGGCCGCTGTTCAAATGCACAAACACGTGGCGGCGGCCATCTTGTTTGCATGAATTCAGGCAGCAGTGTTTAGTCGTCAAGTGCATGGAACTAAACTCGGACACTCAAACTCCCGAACACTGTTGAACTTCCATTATCGCCTGCGTTCGGTTCATCGTGGAAGGGCACTGTTCGGTGGAATAGTTCGTCTGGATGAGGGGAACAAGCTCCACAGTTCAAATATAAACTTAATTTGGTAGTTTATTCATTTTTAAACTACCGAAGTTGACTGACCATTACCACTTTTCTCATGGAACTATTTTGGGCAGGAGCCTCGAGTGCAGTCGGTCAAAAGTTGACTGGCCTAACACCCGAGCCACATGGACATGTATCCTTAGAGCTCCAGGGATTTACCTGAAAAGAGAGCAAAATAAACGGGCTGCAAAGCTCAACAGCCTACAGAGTGATCACAATGTCTCACGGCAGCAAGCCGAAACTGACTAAAATAGACAAAGCCTCCATCTTTCTGGCTAAAGCCGTAACAAACAGGCCCTGTGATGGTCGCGAGGAATCTCAAGATGGCAGTGGACTGGGCTCACAAGAGGGCTCTCCATCTCCCCCTTCCTCTCCAACACCGATAGTGGAGGATAGCCCCCTTACTGTGTCAGCCATGAAATCCTTCATGGCGGATTTCTCCAAGCAACTACAAGACACCATCACTGGCCAGATAAAATCACTGGTGGGAGAGCTTAGGAAGGAGCTACAGGATTTGGGCCTATGCATGTCCCACATGGAACACACCATGAGTAAACATGCCACAGCACATAACCGCATGGCAGACCAGATTCAACAAATGAACCATGCTATTAAATTACATAACCTTAAAATTGGACGATAGATCCAGTAGAAACAACCTCCACATTAGAGGTATCACTGAAACTATCATAAATGATGCCGTACATAACTACTTCCTGACCTTCTTCCAGGAACTCATACCTGAAGTGCACCCAGATCAAGTAGTACTGGACAGAACAAACAAACTCAGGAGGCCTCAACACCTCCCGGCCTCGACAACCTGAGATGTCATTACCAGGGTGCATTTCTTTCATGTGAAGGAGTGGATTGTTAAGGCGGCTAGGAATAGAGACCTACCTGCACCATATGCGGGACTAAAGATTTTCACCGACCTGTCTGCTCAAACCCTCCAATTTCGCAAATCCCTGGTTCCGATCACCACCATGCTCAGAGCACCGCTGGGGCTTTCCGGCCAAATTAATTGTCCACCATCACAACTCTAACCACCCCATCGCATTCCGTGGAAGGAGGTGTGATGAAACTGGCTGATTGGAAACTACCCAGACTGGATATACAGCTGGAATCTGGAATCTGGAATCCCCAGATTGTCGGTGGACTGGCCCATGGCCTAATACTGAGGCTGAGTATATCGCTGCATATATGAGGTTTTCCTTTACTAATTGTCTAACTTAGTCCTACGGACATTGTTGGGGTGATTTTACTTATGTACCATGTATGCCAATACGTAATCCCTACACTTAACTAGTTGATGGCTAGAATAGATGCTGCCCATTAGAAGTCGCACAGTATTGTACTATTACCCCTGGGTCAAATAATGGGACATTAAAGGATAAGTTACCCGATTGAACCGGTTTGGCTTTATGTAGCAAAGGTTCCTAACAGACACATTACCAATGCATATGTCACTTCACTAACTCTGTTGCTTTATACCACCCCCACCCCCCGCCAGAGTCGTCAGAACAGCAGACAGACCAGGGACCACGACCCCCTCACCTGTGCCTAGTATACCTAGGTACAATATAGCTCACGATGTCTGAGCTCCATCCTGTTAGATTTTGTAGTTTACTTTGTTTTACCCTCCCTTTCTTCCCCGCCCCCCACCCCCTGCCACCAAGTCTGATTTCAGTTACATACCCCAATGAGCCTTACTACATATCAGGTCCTCAATGGTTGTGTACCGCTGTGTTCAACACCTTTGCACTCCAGGATAAGGTGTATTTCGTTTTACTGAGTATGCTCTGTCACTGCAACAACGGTAAAAACTTATCCCTATATGAAAGTAATCTCGTATAATGTAAGTCGGCTCAGTTCCCCGAACAAATGGAGCATAGGGACGTGGTTCTCAACATCCAGAGACGATACATAGATCCGCATGGGCATTATGTAATACTTGTGGGCCTTTTCAACGCAACTCAATACACAATAGCCACGGCCTATTTTCCGAATTCCGACTCAGCAAATTTTTTAAACACACTCCTCTAAAAGGTGGAAGACTACCATCAGGGAGGCCTTATACTAGGTGGAGATTTTAACTTAATCCAATCACCACAATTAGACACGTCTGGTAACAGATGAAAAAGATTATCTAACACCTGCAAACGCTTCACTGCCCTCATCTCTAAACATGGCCTCTATGACTGCTGGAGGGTCACACACCCTGCGGAGAGGGATTACACGTTCCACTCTGCAGTGCATAATACCTATTCCAGCATTCCTATTAGATATCACGTCTCTGGCCCAATTGGCTGACTGGAATATAGGCTCATTTGCATGGTCAGACCACTGCCCTGTTTACTTACACTACACAACTCTTTCCAATTGAAGGGTAAAGGGAACTGGAGACTCAATAAATCTTTACTCACAGACAAGACCTTTGCCTCACACGTAGAGGGTGAGCTTGAACAATACTTCCACCTCAATAGTGGAGGGGAGGTCTCGGATGCCTCGGTCTGGCTTGCCCATAAGGCAGTCATCAGGGGCTTGTTTATTAAAAGGTCAGCACACCTAAAGAGACAGCACCAGCGGGAGCTCCTCCAATGCCACAAACATATTGCAGACTTGTCGGACTAAAACAAGTCCAACCAGACCAGAGAACTAGCAACCAAAATCCAGCAGGCTTACCACAAACTACACACACTAAAAGCTGCAAAAACTGCATACCTATTAAATAGAATGAAAGCCACTACTTACCACGTCAGTGGAAAAGCAAACAAATACTTGGCAGCAAGGTTGCGAGAAAAACTTTCCCTTAACAGAATAGCACACATCATAGGGAAGGAGGGGACAAAGAGACTAGGGTCGCAGGAGATTAGTGATACCTTTGCCCATTTCTACTCAAGGCTCTATAACTTGAAAGACGATCCCAGCACACATACTCCCACTGATTCGGAGGTGAGATCATTCATAGACAAAGCTAAGCATCCAAAACTTTCACAGGCACACATAGAGGACATGCTTTCTCATTAACAGAAGTGGGGGACACCACATGGGGTCTGCCCAGCAGCAAATCTCCTGGTGCGGATGGGCTCTCAAACCTATACGATAAAGAATTTGCTCCAACACTGGCTCCACACATACTGGGGACCTTACAACAGGTGATGGAGGAGGGAGTCCTGCCACCAGAGATGCTGCTGGCCACCATAGTGACCCTGCCGAAACCTGACAAACCGACTGACAATTGCAAAAATTTTCGCCCCATTTCCCTTCTTAACACTGACGCGAAACTCTACGCCAAGATCCTAGCAAAAAGACTCGCCCAATTACTGCCCTCATTCATTAAAGATGACCAGACTGGCTTTGTAAAGGGCTGACAGGGACTAGATAACACCCGTAAACTGTCGGTGGTACTCCAGCAGCTTAGGGGGGCTAGGCAGGACGGTCTACTACTTGTGCTGTATGCAGAAAAAGCATTTGACTGCCTTGGCTGGCCTGTTCTCAGGGGGGTTTTGGGGTCATACAGTTTCCACTCCCGAGTAATACAGAAAATGTTTTCACTGTACTCTGATCCCGCTGCACGGGTGCTCCAATCAGGGTTCCTCTCTTCCCCATTTGGGATTTCCAATGGGACGAGGCAGGAATGCCCACTCTCCCCACTGCTATACGTTTTGGCACTGGAGCCCTTGTTGGAGGTAATCAGAGTGAACAGCGGGGTTCATGGAGTGACAGTCTGCCATAAGGAGATCAAAGTAGGGGCTTTTGCTGATGATATCTTACTGTACATAACACACTCACAAACTATGCTCCCCAAAGTCATGCAGATGATCTCTCAATGCTTCAAAAACACAGGCACTATGTTCCTTACCCAGTACCTTGGTCCAATATCTCCAACGCACTTACACATTCGAATGGAGGATGGACACACTTAAGTACCTAGGGGATAAACACACACATATGCTAAGTGGTCACTCGGCTTGTCACTGGCCACACCCCTCATGTCTCTCACTTATTGTATCCCCACATTCAATGCCATCCCGTGGCACTCCAGGGTGGGGAGCCACCCACTTGGAGCACCTTTATGGTCTGGGTACCCTACTGAGCTATGATGTATTGGAAAGGCGATACTCTTTGCCCAGGGCATCCCAGTACATTTACATCCAATTAAAATCGTTTTTGGCCAGACATTACCACAAAAATTATGTACCTACCATCCCATCTACTACGCCCACAGCGTGGGAAAAAATATGTATCACTGGGTCAATTCCTACAGCTTGTAAACCAATCTCCACCAGTTACCGGTTAATATCCCACCGTGTGCCGTTTGCTGCTTCAAAACTAGCACAGCAATGGGAATCTTATTTAGACTGCTCCATGCCAGACAAAAAGTGGGACCATATCTTTCAATTACCTAGACAGCTGATCAAATATTCTAACCATATAAAACAGCAAAACAAAACAATATACAGGTGGTACATTGGGCCAAGTAGACTGCACAAACTATTCCTCAGCCACATTCTGGAGATGCAATGATGCAGAGGGCACTGCATATATGGTGGTCCTGTCCACGCATTCAAACCTTCTGGGCAGATGTCCATGACATAGCTCAAGTAGCAACTGGATGCACCATCCCACTATCGCCCGTACAGCTGTTACTAATTGCCCTAACTGTAGGGTCCCCTAGAGCCAAACAAAAATTACTACAGAGCTCCTATGAGAAGGGCTTGAAAACACAATTCCCCCCCAAATCAAACCTCCCTAAAATCATGGAATATGTGGGACTCGTGGAGATCGTGTACCAAATGAAATGTCATTGCAATTAAACGTCGGAATGGAGCGAGAGGTACTATGGGTATAGCTCTCTCTCTCTATGGGTTTGTGCCACTTATACAATGCACCTGTATATAGTGTTGGACAGACTGTGGAACCTGATGCTGGAACAACGTCCTTATATGCACGAAATGTGTAATGCACAGTTGCAAGAAAAAGTATGTGAACCCTTTGGAATGATATGGATTTCTGCACAAATTGGTCATAAAATGTGATCTGATCATCATCTAAGTCACAACAATAGACAATCACAGTCTGCTTAAACTAATAACACACAAAGAATAAATTGTTGACATGTTTTTATTGAACACACCATGTAAACATTCACAGTGCAGATGGAAAAAGTATGTGAACCCCTAGACTAATGACATTTCCAAGAGCTAATTGGAGTGAGATGTCAGCCAACTGAAGTCCAATCAATGAGATGAGATTGGAGGTGTGGATGTGTGAGGTTTTCATGGATTTTGAGGGTAGTTATGGGGTGTTTGTAAATTGTGTGTTTTCTGTAACTGGAGATAATTGAGTTTGTACAGTAACTGACTCAATTATTCAAGGATTACCCTGTGATTTTGTGTAAGAAGCCCCTCGCATGGGCTTTTGCATATAAGGCCATGTGTGGCCCTGAATAAAACAGATGACTTCCAGCATTAAGCCTTGGCTAATGGTTGGGGGAAGGCAATACTGGCGATAATTACTGCGATACCTGCGATACTCTCTGAATTAAGAGAGGTCTACCTGGTTGAAGCTGGGTCCAGGGTGGGCGGAGAAGGCGAGACCCCAGCCAATCCGGTGCAGTGCTTATGGTACTCGGTGACACTA